AAAGATTGAAATTCACCCCCACAGCAAGCACCAATCAATACATATAATACATGATCTAAAGCATATGATGACTTCTAACTTCTCAATGGCATACTTCTCTTGTGTACTCTCTGATGATAACAATATGTTTATTGATGTTCATGGGTATAGTCAGTTTTACTAAATCTGGAAATTCATTGTATAATGTTTATAATAGTCATTTGGGATTAAAGCACAGTAGAAATTTTATGAAATATTTGGTAGGCAGTCTTGCAATATGGCATTACTAGAAACATATAGATCTGTTTTTATTTATTCTTGTTGCTCTGTCACTTTGAATCATCAGCCATAGATAATGGCTTCACTACACTGCATACTCTACTTGAAAAATTAGAAAAGAAAACCAATCCCAGAACACAGAAGGAGGAGAAAAAGCAATTACAACAGAGAAGAAAGACCCATAAAGTAATACAAAAATAATGCTGGTAAGAATAATAAAAGCAGGACACAGCATAAAATACGCAAATACCTTACAGGCCCCATGGTACAGAAATTCCTATAATATGTATTTAGGAGCACATTACTCATTTAACAGCAATATAAACTGGAAGAAGTTTTGTTTCTGTTAAGAAGCTCTGTTACCTTAGTAATTGTTTCCAAATGCTAAATCCTAATAATAAGCACACCATTTGAACAGTATTGATTTCACTTCTTCCAGTACTGGGAAAAATTTATATTTCGAGGGGATGCTCATACATGCTGCAATATGAACCTCAGGCACTCTTAGCAAACAATTCAGTCCCCTCAGACACTGAGTGAATGCAAACCTCTGCCATTCTCATGGTGAGAGAAACTATGCCTGGAAAGTGGCAAACCACTGAAAAATAGCACGCAAATTGTTTCTTAGCATTTCTAACGTTTTCATCCCTTAAATTACATTTTCAAGACTGATAAAATTTGCTATGTCTAACCTGTATAATTATATAGATTAAAAAAAACCTAGATAAAACAAAAAGTTTTGTATTCTTGACTACAGATCAGATTACAATCATCAGTTATTCTGGATGAACATTTGTGCAATCTCCCATGCTATCCCAAGGCAAGATGACACATTACTACTTCCAGGTGAAGGTCAAAAGTTATGCAGGCAGCGAGAGGAATCTGAGAACTGGGAAAAAAGAAAAATCTCAGTCTGTTTGAGGTATTTTACATCCTTCTGGCACGAAGAAATTAATGCCATTTATACTATGCCTCCTCAGTAATGCTAGAAAGGATGCAACAATTTATGAATTCACCTTTGGCTTTCTTCACAGAAAGAGACATCAGACATCTAAACAATGTAAAGTCCTATTTGGCTACAGCACAGGGCAATGATGTATTTCATTACTGAGAGGCAGGTAACAGCGTAAGTTATTTTTTCTGCGTGAGTATTCTGCTATGCAGTCTGTGTTTTGATCAAGTTCAGAGAAGGTTAATACAAACTCTTTGTAACTTGTCATACCAAAGGCTGAAAGTGAGAGTCTAAAGAAAATCACTCTGTGCAACCACCCTCCTCCTAGCCACAAAGAGCAGTGGGACTATGGGTATACTGCACTGCTGCTCATTCAGTTTTATATTACTTAAATGATATATGACACCATTAGATGTTGTCCATAGTTGGTTAACGGCATCCTATTACACAGTAATAATTACAATACTTTCTGTTAAAAACAGGACTGTGAAAAATGACAAATGTTAACAGAGCAGCAGAAGTCCAAAAGGACTTGGAGACCTCTGTAATACAAATAATGCTCTGAGGTTTGTAAGGACTGAATCCCTAACAATTACTTGAATTCCCTGCTTGGACCCACTATTGCCTTAATGCTTGCTTCTGCTTTTCTCTAGCTCAGTTCTGTGTTATTAAAGACCGCAATCTGCACAACTGTTATGTTAGGGCCTACAGCTTATCTGCACTTGGTTTATTTCGTATTTGGGGTCACAAACACTGTATTAAAATAATTACTCTAATACCATCTTCTGAGTAAACTGAAAGCACATTTACTACTAAGAGGAAACAGATACATCCAGTTCCTGGTCCCACAGCAGGAGCAAAAGACAGGCTGAGAGAGAGAGAACAAGTCCTCCAGAGCCATGGCAGAGAGATGTACATCCCCATGCAGAAGCACCCTGTTCCTAAACACAGGTTCTGATTTGGCAGATGATCTGGCAGAAATCGTGAGTTTTAGAACCCCTTTGATTCCCTGTGCAGACATCTTTGTTGGTCAACAAAAAATCATAAATTACTCCAACGAAACATTGAACATGCTCATTGGGAGTTATCTCTTTAGCTATGCCCTACAGCATCTGCTCTGGATGGCTACACACTGCATGTCATTTATGCCATCATGCATTCAGGACCTAGGGCCAGATTCAGCACCCTGTAAACATCCTTACTGAGCTGCGGACAGAAGTCAGTTCCCTCCGTCAGCTTACAACAATTGCTCACATTGGCCAGGTACAAGGTGTACACTGTCTCTGTCCTCATGGGAACTTCAAAGCCTTGCCCTCTCTGCACTGCTCAGGACTTTCCACTCCCAGCAAAGGCACGTCACCTCTCCCTCTTCAGAACAAGAGGGAGTATCAGTCTTTTCCATTAAGAACAAACCCAGACTGCATTGTAATGCACTTTTTACTTCTGTATTTCTTTTCACAACCAAGGCCTGCTCTTCTCCTTGCTCTCACTTACAAGACTCTGCACCCCTCTCCTGCCACTCTGTCTCTTGAATCAACCATTCAAGGTGTCCTCTAGCGCATCCTTCTCATATCATACAGGGATAGCACAAGGCTCTTATTTCGATCTCCACTTTCCCTCCCTACACCTATAAAATTTATATCTGGAAACTTCATCTATAAGCTCAAATTTAACCATTCCTTCTATTCCAGTCAACTCTTGTGACCAAGGTTCTGATTTTCTACCAACTGTCATATAACTCGTAAATGACTTCTGCCTAACAAAATGAGATATTAAAAATGTTTTGTCCACAAGCCCTCCCCCATTCTCTCAACTGCCACTCAAAATGCTTCTGTTCTACCTGTCACTCTAGGCTGGAACCTAAGTATCATCATCTCTGCAATATATATAATATTTAATTACGTCCACTGATCTATTGCAAACGTCAGTCTGTCTCCGAGTATAACAATACTTATTTAATAATTTCTTCCTCATTTATTTTCTTTCTCATTTAAAATTTGTTTGTCCTCACTTTCAGTCTCTGTTCTGTCCCCAGCTTAACACCTTTTACTGCTGAAATTGTTATGCCTGCTTCCAGCCTCATATTCCAGTCTCTGATATACTGCCTTTCCAAACAAGTATCATCATGCTCCCTTTTTACTTCTCATGTGTGGGAAGAGTTTCTAGGAAAACAAGAAATCTACTTTTTGATCCTACTAATCCCCTTCTTAAGTTTCCTATTCCAACACCACCTTCTTTGACAATACACAAGCTGCTGTTACACTACAGCCACCAAGTTGAACTATATTGCCCCCCTGTACCCTGTCAGTAATGAACACAATACAAATGCACAGTCATACAGCTGGGTCAGCCCTATGATGCAGGCTACAGCTTTTCTCTGAATACACTGCTATTTGAAAATAAGTACCTTTAAAAAAGCCATCAAAATCACCCAAACAATCCTAAACACTTAATTCTTCAAAAAATAAAATCACCTTTCTGGGAAAAGGTTTCTTTTAGGGAAAAAAAAAAAAAAAAGATTTGAGCAACTTCCTCCTTAAAAGTATAACTGAAAAGGCTCAGGGAATGACGTCAAAAGCTATGTTTTTCTTTGATTGACTTGGAAACTACCAGAGAAGAGCACAGACTTAGGAAACACGTGACCTGCATCTCAGTCTTAGAAATTTTGTAGATACACAGAGGTATTATAGAAGCCTTCTTACATTATCATCAAAGCTAATAATTGGAGACATTTATTGTCCATAAAACCATTCTGAGCTCAGCAGAGACTGACAAACAGAATTATTCAAAATCATGTGGCAATTCATAGCATCTGCAGATACACAGTAAGCTGAACCTGAGACTGATTCATATATCCTAAATACTTTCCACAGACTTACATTTAATCTGAAGTTGTCTGATACAAAGTTCACATTTGTGATCTATGCTTTTGTTCCTGCTACAATTTTTACTTCTTAGCTAAAATTTGAGTAATTAAAGTCTCTTCTCTCCCAAAGCTCACAGTTCTTCACTGAAAAAGTCAACAAAAATGAAGCAACTGGACTGACTGGCTCCAGAACTGCACTTTATGAGTGCAAGCAGGCATGATTTAGAGCATCTAAAATATCCTCCCTTCTTGGACATGAGCACATCAACCAAATTAAGATGGGTAAGTGCTAATGTTTCAGCTACAAGTGCTTTTCATTTGTGGATCGTTACCAAACAGAGTACCATTATCCCCAATATTGCTGGTAAGATAACTGAAACCCAGAGGTGATGCTGTAACTCACTGCATAAAAACGATTCATTGTGCAAGACCACTAAATAAGCCTGTTTGTTTGCAGCTCTGTATTTTCAAGCAGCAGAATCTGACACAGAGGATGTGGTGTGCCACATCAGCACTCAATACGCATGAATGGTTCATAAAATTACAATTTAGGAGAGCTTTAACTGAAACGTGATGGTGTAATTTTTGTAAACAATTCCATTAGATACTTATTTCAATTTAGGGGATTCTAAAGGACTAAACATTTATATATGTCTCAGGTATTCTTGTACTTCATAAATCTATGATGCAAGATTTAACTATGTAATTGCATATAGCAAAGTAATTGTCGCTGTTATAAAGTGTATGTTTACCTGTACAAGCTGCTGTTAGAAAAAGGCAGTAGCTTCATACAAGTGAAAAAGCAGGAAAGCAGACATACTGCTGCTGTGCTTTGGTGTTTCATCAGGGCGCCTGCAAGTGTTGCTGAAGTATTTTGTAACATACAGGAGAGGATGCTCCCAACTGACAAATTATGCCTCTTACCTTTACTCTCACTGTGACAGTAGCGAGACCAGGAGGCATAGTGCCCTTGCTATCGAAGGCTTCCACAAGAAAGGTGAAGGTTGCTTCTGTGTCAGAGAATGATTCATAATCCAAGAACTTCAAAAGTGATAACTCGCCTGTATATTTGTTCAGTGCAAAATACTGTAGTGCTTCCTGTGTCCGAATTCGATAGTTAACATCAGAACCAAGATCAACATCCTTTGCCTAGAGCATGCCATCAGAAACAATTAAAAAGATGTACTTAAAAACAAACAAAATCCATTTTCAGAAAAAATCCCTACTAGATTTAAAGAACACAAAAAAGCAAGCTACTGCAAAGAAATTTAATTTCATTACATTATTCTAATAGTATTCGATATACTTCATACTATCACACAAACATGAGGAAGACAAATCCACTTAAGGTTATGAAAATCCAGAGACATCTGCCACATGAAATGAGCACAGCATTCTGGGCAAGAGTCACTGGAAGCTCAGTCTATTCTTGTTCTCCTCCCTGACCACCTGCTATGGGCCACTGTCAGGGAGAGGATGCTGGGCTAAGCAGACCTTTGATCTCAGCCCTGTAGGGCAGCATTGATTTTTTTATTTCATACCAGTATTTAGACAAAGAATATGCAATTGGCTTAGCTGTAATTTGACATTAGAGTTATGTGCAGTCAGGTTCAGAGAAAACCGTTCTTGTCAAAATGGTCTCAAGATGGATTCTTCTTACTAAAGGATGATGACCAAAACATCAAAAGGATATGTAGACTACTTACGGGAAGTGAACCTCAGCTGTCTTTAGAGATCTAGCTCATTCTTGAACAATTAAGTCTAACTTGTCTGAGTATCTTTTATAGTCAGTGAAGAGAAGGCAACGCCTCACAGTGCCCACTTTACTCCAGCTAGCTTAGAAGATGATGCTGATGTTGGATGAATTGCTTCTTCAAGCAACTCCATTAACCATAATGTCAGGTTAGACATCTAGGTTTGACTTCAATGTCTCAATCAATTGAAATAAAGCGCTCTCTTCCTACTGATGTAAACAGGTAGAAGCAATATGATGAGCTTTCACAAACAAATCAAAAGCACTTAAAACGTGTAAAATAATATTCCCAGAAACAACAATAGTAGTGTAAGTTTTGTTGTTTGTTTTTTAATAATTGCTCTTATTGCCAAATGAACCTCAGCTTCAAAGTATTTTTATGTACCTGTCTAAGGTCATGCATTTTTCAGTCTGTTAAGTGTCATAACTTCCCCCACTCCAATCGTTTACTCCAGTCTCACTGACAAGTTAAATAAGAACATGTTTAGTATTGCAGAACATTTACAAAACATATTCCTCACTCTGTAATGGTTTCTTACCTCTATTTGCAGGAAGACAGTGCCTGGTGGTAGATTTTCTGGCACGCAGACAGTGTAGGAAGCATTAGTAAAAACAGGGCTGTTGTCATCAATATCCAGTACCTTGATTGCTAAAGTTAGTGTTGAACGGCGGGGGTCCACAGCTCCATCTGTTGCTTCAACAATAAGTTCATAATAGTCCCTTACTTCTCTGTTCAGTTTAACTGCTGTATAAATGCTGCCATTTGATGTGATTCGGAAAAGACTGTTGAAGTTTGCCAGACTGTAATGAACTTGACCATTAATACCAGCATCTGGGTCTGTAGCCTAAAGAAACAGAAAAAAGAACAATGTTTTAATGCACATTTTAAATATAAGGGACACACCTACATGGGAGTAACAAGGTAAGCTAGGTTAATAATCTACAAAGTACTAATGCTTGTGTGGCTATTCAGCATTTCTTGTTTACAGCAGCTTGCCTCCCTCTGGGATTTTGCTGAAGATAAAATATCCTACAGAAACAAATCTCTCAATTTGCAGCGACAGACGGTGGGTTTACTGGATCCCAACTGGACTTCAGGAGAAAATACACATTTAGTTGCTCAGCCTTGCACAGCTGTTGACACAAGCAGGAGACAAACTAGATGTTTTTAAAGTCAAGCCCACAGACACTTCTAATGCTGCAGTATCTTCAGGGTTAGGTGTTGTCTGAGGGGAATTTTTACTTTATGTTATTTGATTTAGGTGTTTCATTCCTGCCCAAATCATTACAGAGTATATACTTTGATGAAAAATGGATGTAGTCAGCAGATAGCTAGAATGGACACATTAGTTTGAAATTCTCATTTCACTTAACATGTTTGTCACATTTAGTGATATTTTAATAGTTGCTCTCCAAAGAACTACTTAACTTTCCATAGTTTATCACATTCTTCAAAACCAAACGTTCTCACATTCCATCCTTCTTCTACACTCAGAGACAGATGATTGCAATAGAAAACTGTTCAGATTTTGTTTAATTGACATCTTTGCTCTCACATACTGAAGTAAGTATCAAATTTCAGTATCAGCTAAATAATTCTTGCTATTACATAACTGCCCTTACAGGGATGGACAAAATGCATGGTTTTCCTAGGCCCTCAATATAGTCTGAATGCCAACTTGCTATTGTTTCTTCTCTTAATTAAAATATGGCAAGATGGATAAGGTTATGTAAATTAAACAAAGGACATTCTGTGAACAAGGTATTTTCATTTACTTGACTTTACAAATGAGGACATCTGGGAAGATCACAAAAGATTTTCATGTCTTGTTCTCAGAACAATTGTCAGGAAGTTTCCATGAATGTTTAATTCTGGTGAAGGTGTTTGTTGTAAGATTTTGTACCAAAGCCATTTATTTTCTCAGAAATCAAGTAAAAGTTAATTAAAATTCTTAATAGGAAAAAAAATCACTGTGCTTTCCCCCTGCACTACATTAGTGCACTAAGCAGTAATAGCTACAACTTCATAATGACCAGTCTATGGATAACACTTCCCTTTAATCAACATCTTCCAATGTATGGTTGATTTGCTTAGTTTAGAATCAATTCTATTTCCTCCGTAGAAATAACAGATTTGAGGCAGAAAGACCTCCTAGATGACATACTGGAAAACCATCAAAAAGCTAGTCAAGGAGAAAAGCTTACAGTATACAGTAACAGACATAGCCCCACTGAAAGAAAAGCAAATACAGGAAATGTAGAGTAAGTTGCAGAGCTTCTGGACAAGGTACTAACAGCAAGATTCACCTTCACAGACACACATCTCCAACACATGCATGAGGTCAGTCCATATACTTAGCCTCTAATTTAAGCCAAAGCCATATTATAGCAATTAAATTGATGCTAAACAGCCAGAGTTAAAAACCAGACAAAGTATACTAACCAAACATCCCACCTAACAGTAATTTGGAAATACTACTGTATTTAAGATTAATTCAGAAGAATGTTTTTGAACAGACAAACTTATTTTTTAGGAAAGTAAATTGAAATTACTTTCAAATCTATGGCAGGCTTTGCAATTCAGTTCCTAAAAACATGACTAAGTATGTTGTAAACTCATTCATGTACATACTTGGGCATAAACACCTTTTCCACATTCTGCAGGACTGATTTATTTCTGCGGAGAATAGCAGGCAAATCATCATTATTAAATCCAATTAAACTAGTTGTTATAATACTACAGTAACACTGGTGAGAAGTCAACCAAAGATGTGAAGACAAACATTAGCTCTGTGCGTTTTTACATAACTTAGTCTTATGCTTCTACAGCACAGGGCAAATTCAAATTTCAGAAAGATGTTCTTGACTGAACCATGAAATTTCACAAACAAAAGTTTGCTGCACTCTGTCCACTACAATTTCTACCATACAGATTCTTTGATTATCTATTAGATAAAACACTCCGCCTCCAAACTTCCTGCTCTACCTGTGGTGTTACACCACAGATGACAACTGCCTATTTACAGAATCACAGAATCACAGAATAGTAGGGGTTGGAAGGGACCTCTGTGGGTCATCTAGTCCAACCCCCCTGCCGAAGCAGGGTCACCTACAGCACGCTGCCCAGGACCTTCTCCAGGAGGGTATTGAATATCTCCAGAGAAGGAGACTCCACAACCTCCCTGGGCAGCCTGTTCCAGTGCTCTGTCACCCTCAGAGAGAAGAAGTTCCTCCTCATGTTCAGACGGAACTTCCTGTGCCTCAGTTTGTGCCCATTACCCCTTGTCCTGTCACTGGGCACCACTGAAAAGAGCTTGGCCCCATCCTCCTGACATCCACCCTTCAGATATTTGTAGGCATTTATAAGGTCCCCTCGCAGCCTTCTCTTTTTCAGGCTGAACAAGCCCAGTTCCCTCAACCTCTCCTCGTAGTGGAGATGCTCCAGTCCCCTCACCATCCTTGTAGCCCTAAAGATTTTTTAAAGATCTTTACAAAGATGCCATCCCATTGCTCAGGCAGCGCTTTGTGTTACCCATCTTTGATGAACACCATGTAGAAGCACAGCCACAGAGGAGAAGGGCAAAGCTAAGAAGTCACAACAAGTTGTACCAGCACTGTCCAACCTACTTACAGGTGGCTTTATGACCCCGAGCTACTTAGGTAGGCCAAAATGTCATGCGTGGTGGCTGCCAAGCCCATGCCAGGGGCTGCCTTCTCCTTCCCAGACTTCCCTATTGCACAGCAGAGGGGCTTTTATGTCCCATAACACAGCCTGTCCTCATGCCTTACCTCCTCCACCATGATCTCCCCACAGGCTGCAGGGGAACCTGCTCTGGTGCCTGAAGCTCGTTCTTCCTCCTTAGCGCACGCAGGGCTGTTACTCCCTCCTCGCTGCTGGGAGGAGCTTATCATAGAACCATAGAATGGTTTGGGTTGGAAGGGACCTTAAAGATCATCTAGCTCCAACTCCCCTGCCATGGGCAGGGACACCTTCCACTAGGCCAGGTTTCTCAGAGTCCCATGCAACCTCTCCTTGAACACTGCCAGGGAGGGGGCATTCACAACTTCTCTGGGCAACCTGTCTCAGTGCCTCACCATGCTCATCATAAAGAATTTCCTCCTTATAGCTAATTTAAACCTACCCTTTTTTAGCTCAAAGCCATTACCCCTTGTCCTATCCCTACAAAGCTTTGCCCTTTCTTCATTCTGCTTCCCAGAGGCTCCACCAGAGCCATTGATGGGCTGAGCTGTGCCTTGTGGGGCCACTGCAGCCAGCTGGAATCAGATGTGTCTGGCCTCTCCTCATAGAGACCCCTCAGCCCCGCTGCCAGGCCCAGGCACCCTGTACACGTGTGTCTGTATACATGTATGTTTAAAATGAAAGTGCATGTTTTTAAAGAATTGAAACAGATTTCATTGTGAAAAGAGCTTTAAGAAAATCCTATTATTTTACCAAATTAGATCACTTTTACCGTTTAAGATCTCCATTAATTAACATTTTATCACTACAAACTTGAAAAAAGATAATATACTCTGTATACGTATGAAAGAAAAAAGCTTAATCTGTTTTCTAATATAATCCTATCTCAAGGGTATACAAAATTAACTCTTTCCACACGTAAATCATTTCACAGTGCCTCTCAGAGCCTGTGGGCAGCAGCTCCATGGAGAAGTCCTCTAAGGACTCCCTGGTGGCAAGGTTACTACCTGTTCCTGTTTGTAGTTATTACTTTGTATCAAAATGGATAACTTCAGGTCATCGCAATTTAATCCCCACACTCTTGTCACCGACAGGTACAAACTGGCAAGCACATATTACAAGCCTTGACTGGAAGGTAAGGGAGGAGGAGGAGGTCTGCACAATGAGGAGCTGGGCTTTCGGAAAGTCCTGCTTCAAAAATCAGCTCTGCTTGAACTTATCACTACCCTTAAAACAGAAGCCAGCAACATCCCAATAAATTTAATATTATTTGCTCATTACCAACACTGAGCTGAATTACCTGAGTATACAGTTACCAGAGGTGGAGAGAAGCAAGGAAACACTTCATTTCTATATTATCTGAGTCCCAAGGAAAGTCCCAAAGACAAGGCCAAGGAGACTATGGCAGGACTAAAAAGAGGCAAGAGCACATTCTTATGCCCAGTGCATCACACAAGGCTTTCAACCACAACTCATCCTCACCGATTTGCACATAAAAATTATGGTAAGAGTCTTTAAGCTTTAGCTGGTGAAAGGCTACCAGATGATAGAAGATATTAAAAGGAGCTACAGATCTATTTAGAGGCAGAAATCTTTTCACAGCCTTGCACATGTTGCTCATACAAGAAATCTGGGCTTTGTAGAGGCAGCAGAAAGAAGAAACAGCAGGCGTGACTGCTGTAGGCAACACAGCCCCCAAAGGCAACAGGGGAGACAGATACCATAGAAATTGAGAACAAAACAAAACATAAATCCAAGAAGAAGAAGGAATGAGCAAAATGAGGGAAATTTCAAAAGTAGCAGAAAAGATCCCAAGGTTGGACAACAGTGTCATTGCATCTCAAATACTCGAGGTGGTGAGAATTTCCTCCAGCACCACTAATGGCTGAGAGGATCTGACAGACAGAGCTGCATGTGCTGCCTCTGTCATCTCTAATATATGGTACCACATGGAGGTGAAAACTGGCATATGACCACCCACTGGATATGGTGAGTAGGATATATCCAACTACAAGAGCTGCATGGAGGTACACTATCTACATAACCAGATGAGCACTCAAAGGAGGAGAGGAGAGCTGTTTGGGGTGACCATGTCCTCTCATCACACTCCTTCATTCGGCTCCCTGGAGTTTACCTGCTCCCCAA